TCACAGTTTTGGAGGCTCTAAAATGCCAGAATAGCACAACCCCCCTCCCCCAAATTATCCTTTTTGGAAGGTAGACACCCTAAGGGAATTTGATCAGAGGCATGGTGAGTATTTTACAGATATCATTTTTGTTACAAGGTTTTGAAAAAGAAAGAAAGAAAAGAAAAAATAATTTACGTCGCTTTTCCTGTAGCTGCTGCTCTGCTGCAGTACATTGCAGTCGGGCGGGTCGGCAAGCGGTTAAGTGACAGGGACAAAATATCAACCACAAATCCAGAAAAAACACGATACAAATGTTCTAAATTGGGTTGCAGTTCAGTGAGTAAAGTAAGAATTTGATCCCCAAGCAAAACATGACTTAGAAACCCTTGTTGGCAAGCACAGAAGTAAGACGTTTCTTGTAGTTGGTTACCAGGTTTGCACACATCTCGAGTGGGATTTTGGTCCACTCTTCTTTACAGATCTTCTCTAAATCCTTAAGGTTTCTTGGCTGTTGCTTGTCTATAGGATTAAGGTCTGGAGACTGGCTAGGCCACTCCATGACCGTAATGTGTTTCTTCTTGAGCCACTCCTTTGTTGCCTTGGTGGTATGTTTTGGTTCATTGTCATTCTCATCCAAGATTTGGGCTCCATCCATTGGCCCCTCAATGTGGCAGAGCCAGTCTGTACCTTTAGCAGAGGAACAGCCCCAAACTATAATGTTTCCACCTCCATGCTTGACTGTAGGGATGGTGTTCTTGGGGTCATAGTTAGCATTTTTCTTCCTCCAAAACACGGCGATTTGAGTTAATGCCAAAGACCTCAATCTTGGTCTCATCTGGCCACAGCACTTTCTCCCAAACCTCTGAATCATTTAAATATTCATTAGCAAACTTCAGAAGGGCCTGAATTTCAATCATATTGTGTTACCAATAGTTTATTTGGTGACTGTGCTCCCAACTGCCTTTAGATCATTCACAAGCTGATCCCTCACTTTTCTCATGATCATTCTTAGAGGCAAAATCTTACATAGAGCTTCAGACTGAGGGCGCTTGAGAGTTGTTCTGTATTTCTTCAATTTTCGAATAATTGTTCTAACATGTGACTCCTTCTCACCTAGCTTCTTGCTGATGGCCTTTAGCCCATTCCAGCCCTGTGCATGTCTACAATCTTGTCCTTAATGTCCTTTGACAGCTCTTTGGTCTTGCCCATGGTGATGATGAGGTTGGAATGGAAAAAGATATTCTGTGGACAGGTGTCTTTCACAGTATATACATAATGAGTTGTCATTAGGAGCACCTTCTTAAATTGAGAGGACTAATCTAGGTACCACATCAGCACATAGCCAGTGTGTGGGAGTCAGAATTATTGTTGGTTGGTAGGTGGATCAAATTTTACTCACTGAACTGCAACTCAATTTATAACATTTGTATCATGTGTTTATTCTGGATTTTTGGTTGATATTCTGTCTCTATCATTTCAAATACACTTATGATCCAAATTATAGACTCTTAATTTCTTTGTTAGTGGATAAACTTTCAAATCTTCAGGGGATCCAAAAATGTTTTCCCCACTGTATATCATTGTGCCTGCTAAGGGGGTCTCTGCACATCTGCTGGGGTGCGCAGCACCCTTGGCTTATGTGATCACTATGCAATCACATGATCACAATGTCAAATAAGCTGTTATGAATGATCCTCATTCATAAAATTTTTGCTTCCTATACTAGTGAGCTGTGCTTGACACACAGCTAGCACAGGGTACCTGGGCCTATCATAGCACCCTGTACCATGGGATTAGCTTTAGGCAATCCAAAGTCACTAGTAGTCACAACTGTCACGAATGAAACTCCTGCATGGCAGTTCAAAGTGTTGCTGGTACAATGGTTTTCATTGTATCCGCAATTCAAATATGTGAACTATTACACCTGACTCTCCAACCCAGAGTAGTACAGTGTTACTATGGTGACAGTGAACTACTCTAATGAAAGTATGTTAATTCAAATCCCCAAATCTTTGTTCAAAAATAGATGGTAAACTTTCTTGGTCCACAAATGTGTTTTTAATATTATATATATATATATATATATATATATATATAATTTTATTTTTTTACCATAATTTGGAATACTGTAACCAGTCAGTGACATATGATGATGCTGTACTATGCTGGTGACAGTATGTACACAAAAAAATTGTTGGCAATAAAAAATAAATACTGGCTTAATGTTCCTCAAAATTGTTTCCAAAATGTACAACTCCCCATGCTTCTCAAGCAATATCTCATACTGTGTGTTTTCCAAAAATGATAAAGATTTTGTTTGTGCAGTGTCGCCTGACCATGCAATTGCCAGTTAAAGTAGCATAGTGGTGATTTGACAGAAATAGCCTAGTCATGAAGAGGTCCACATCTTCCTGAGCTTCAGTGGCTTCCAAAAAACATCTCTCTCTCTATATATATACACACACACACACACAACACACACAGTTTTTCTCAAAGGTTTGCATACCCTGGCAGAAATTGTGATATTTTGGCATTGATATTGAAAATATGACTGATCATGCCAAAAAATGCTCTTTTATTGAAGGTTGATGATCATATGAAGCCATTTATTATCAAATAGTTATTTGGCTCCTTTTAAAATCATAATGATAACAGAAATCACCCAAATGGCCGTGATCAAACGTTTACATACCCATAACTAAATATGCCATCATTTTGGATTTATATTTGGGCCTTAAAATATAAATCCAAAATAAAAAGTACCCAAAGACGTTTCATTATTGAATTATTGAAATTTGATATGTCCAGTAATTTTTTTGGTATAATACATATTTTCAACAATGCAAAGGTGTTGCAATGGTAGCTAAGTATGCTCCCAGTGTGGCAAATTTGGTTATGGACAAATGGGAAGAAGAATGTATTTTTGAAAAAATGGCCAGAGATGGCACTATATAGAAGATATATTGATGATATCATTATGTTATGGAAGGGAACAGTAAATGATTTGGATGATTTTACTAAATACATTAATAATAACAAATATGGGTTGAAATCACTGTTATAAGTGATTTCAAACAAGTCACCTTTTTAGATTTGACATTGTACAAGGATAAAGGGCAGATTCTAACGAAAACTTTCTTTAAAGATATAGATAAAAACAGCTATATCCCCATCTCTAGTGGTCATCATCTGAGATGGCTATATAGTACCCCTAGGAGCCAATTTACTAGAATAAAAAGAAATTGTAGTGCCCAAAATGACTTTATAGATCAGACCAATCATATTGATTGAAAGGTTTGTTGAAAAAGGATATGAAAGGTTTTTTCTTGAAACAGAGAGATAATTAATTAAGAACAAAGACAGAGAAATGCTCCTATCTGAGAGAAAAGAGAATACAAATAAATTTGGGGATATGTTCTTTGTTACCAATTACAGCACACAATATAAGATAGTTGAACATAATTTTAAGAAGTATTGGCCCATTTTGCTAAAATATGATATCAGGGGTGGACTGACAACTTATGGGGCCTCCGGGCAATAGGGGATCATGGGGCCCCTGTATCCTTGCCCAAACTCAAAAAAGCCTATGAAAAAGGTACCAGGGGCATCTCATGGGGCCCCCTACTGACCCCGGACCCTCGGGCAGTGCCCGAGTTTCCAAATGGACAGTCCACCCCTGGATGATATATTAAAGAAAATCATCCCGTCAAAACCAAGATTTGTGTATAGAAAGAATAGATAGTTAAGAATGAAAATAGTCCATAATGTAATAGATCCACCTAGAAATGCAAATTTCTTTCCCAACATAGAAGGTTTTTTTTCATTGCAATAAGTGCAAAGCCTGTAAGACTGTAAACAGAGAGTCTAAAAAGTAAAGGAAACGTTTCTATTCTACATCTACTAATAAAGAATACAAAATTAATTTGTTGATTTCTTGCAATTCGTCCTATGTAGTCTACGTTTTAGAATGCCCGTGCCACCTCCAATATGTAGGTAGAACAGGGAGACTTTTAAAGACCAGGATAAGAGAACATATAAGTAATATAAAAAAAAGATTTTGACAAACACAGTGAGTTGAGACCCTTTAAATTAAAACATAATAGTGATCCTAGGCTACTTATGTTCTATGGTATAGATAAAATTAAACAACACTGGAGAGGTTCTGATATGATTAATGATACATCTAAAAGAGAAACATATTGGATATATGAATTAAATTCTTTAAAGCCCAATGGGTTAAATATAGATATTGATTTAAATTGTTTTCTCACTAACTTCTGATTTTTGTTGATAAAAGAGTTAGTTTAATAGGTTCAGGGATTGAGCTACTATTGATACTATATAGATTATTATCTTGACTTAAATATCCTGATATATAATCTGTTTTTTGAGTATATGATACTGGTAGAGTGCGTCCTTAACCACTTATACCCCCTTCTTTACCAGGCCAATTTTCAGCTTTCAGCGCTGTCGCACTTTGATTGACAATTGCGTGGTCATGCAAGATTGTACCAATATGAAATTTTTATAATTGTTTTCTTTAAGTGGTTTTAGTTGCCACTGGGCACTTAACTTTTTGCGCTATAAACAAGAAAAGTGCAAAAAAAAAAAAAAGTTTCTTTGTTTCTATTATAACATTTTTCAAACAGGTAATTTTTGTCCTTCACTGATGTGCGTTGATGAGGCAGCACTGATGGACACTAATAGGCGGCACTGATGGGCACTGATAGGCAGCACTGATGGGCACTGATAGGCAGCACTGATAGGCGGCACTGATAGGCAGCACTAATGAGGAGGCACTGATAGACAGCACTGATAGGTGGTACTGACTGGCGGCACTGCTAGGCACTGACTGGCACAACCGCTGGGCACTGACTGGTGGCACTGACTGGCAGCACTGCTGGGCTGCACTGATGGGCACTGGTGGGTGGCACTGGTGGGCACATGTGGGTGGCACTGGTGGGCACAGGTGGGTGGGCACATGTGGGTGGCACTGGTGGGCACAGGTAGGTGGCACTTCTGGGCATAGGTGTGTGGCACTGCTGGGTGGCACAGGTGAGTGCACTGCTGAACACAGGAGGGTGCACTGCTGGGCACAGGTGGGCACATTGCTGGGCACAGGGTGCTGGAACTGGTGGGTGGCACTGCTGGGCACCGATCATCAGGGCACTGATCATCAGTGCCCTGATGATTGGTGCCGATCCCTGCTCTGACAACGGCCGGTTCTCGGCAGTACTTTCCTCACACTCTGACAGCGTGAGGAAAGTGCAGCCGAGAGCCGGCAATTGCATTTCCCGGTGATCAGCGTGTCATTGGACACGGCTGATCACGTGGTAAAAGGCCGCTGTGATTGGCCTTTTACCACATTATGTGATCCACTGTGTCGCTGGGTGTCTGGGAGGACGTCATATGATGCCCTCCTAGAACTGGCCGGCCGCAGTGTAGCCGTTATTCGGCTATCTGCGATTGGCAAGTAGTTAATATAGGTACTGGCTCATTAAATAATGTTTTATATTATTTTTTGTATTTTATATTTTTTTATATAAAATTCTTTTTATATTTTGTAATGAGAGGATAGATTGTAAGACATGAATCATCACCTTTTTTTGGTTAGGTTTGCAGCTGCACATATAGTTTCTATATTTGTATATTATTTTTATTTGGCGCTATTCTTAATATAATTACTGAAGATGATTGTGCTAAGACCAACTTTGTCAAGCAGATCATCCTCCAGCACATTTGTGATAAACTGTGACAGAGATTCTAACATCGCACCAAAGTGTTAAAAATTCAACACTGGAGAGATGTAAAAAGAAGGAATGAGCGGATGTTGAAAAAAGTTGTGCATCAGATCCCTGGTAAGTCAATACGGTCAACAATATAGCTGAAATATGCTTGTGTGTGGAAACAGCTTTTTTAAATGCATTTCAAATTTGTAATGCTATTATGTTGTCTTTTTTTTTTAACTAGTTCTAGCAACAGCTGATGGACGGCTGCCAATGGTCTGCTTGGTGAAGAATCAGAGGAGGAGAAACGCAACTCTGCGATTTGTTTCACAGGGGGAGCATACAATGCGATGCCTGCAAATTGTGGAAGCTCTGGAAGATTGTACCTTCTTCATGACCATGGATACTTTAACTGCCAATTGCTTGTTCATGAAACACTTTACACAAATAGTTTTTTATGTATATTTGTTAAGCCAAAAGAGCTTTCTTTTGGTGGTCTTTGATTACTAAATTAAGCACACAATGTGTGCTTAATTTAGTAACTAATTTTTTTAGGGGATATTTTTAGTCCCTGAAAATAATGCGTTATTTTAGAGTTTTTTTCAATGCTTATCTAATACTAATCTTTATTCACACATTTCTTCAAAATTGCATTTTGCAAAGTCTTTGTACACTCATTGGCCTTTTAGTTTTGCAACAATTAGTTTGGCCAGTCTACAAATTATGCTATTTGTTGAGCAAATTTTACAAACCCTGATGTACTGATGGACAATCTCATTTATTCAGGGCCCTTAAAATGAATGGAGAGTACAAACCCCCACAAATGACCCCTTTTTGGAAAGTACACAAAGTTATTTACTTAGAGGCATGGAAAATGTATTGACTTATGATTGTTTTGTTTCAATTTTTTGGATAATGAAGAAATAACATAAAATTTTTATTTTTTTCATCCATTTCTTTCCCTTTTGAACACCAACACAGTGCAATGTCCTCATATGACTGGTGTGGCAGTAATCAGGGATACTGACTGGTGACAGAAGTTAAATTACACTTTTTTGCTTTTTTCGGAAATATTATATTTTTTTTTTGGGAACAAAAATAATGTTGTTTGGGGAACATTTGCATTTGTTTTTAAGATACTTTTCTCAGAATAGTTCAGTATCAACAAAATAATACTCTACTCTTGGAAAGGGGGAGGGGAGCAGGGAATATTGTTTCAATTGTTCCTAAACTTTGATGGTACAATGAGGATCACTGTAACAGCAATATTTATAACTGTAATGAATGGGCTACATTCATGACAGCTGTGCTTATTAGCAATGTGGGATTGGGGCAGGTACCATGTGCTAGATGTGGCCCAATCACAGCTCACTGGTAACGGAAGCAAAGCTGTTCGGAATTACTATCATGATCATGAGAAAAGTGAGGGAACAGCTTTGTGGACATTGTGATCTTGCAATTGCATAGTGAACACATTCTCAGATTGCTCAAGTGGCCTGATACAGTGATACTACTGCAGTGTGGTGAACACAGCAGGGGTGCATCTTAATGGATGCACAGTGCCCTCCTAAGTTTACACATACACAATGAATTTCCTTTATGCAATTGTGCCTCTATGTGCCACCTGCCCACATGAAATGTACAGTGGACAGTTGGTAATGGTGTTTATTTTATGCTGTTCTTTCTGTAGAAAACAGTGATGAGGACGAAAAGCAGGAGACTGCCTAACCTTTAGCCCAGGCTCATGTAAGTATCTTCAGTGTGATGGTCTATTCTCTATGTCCCTCTTAGACTTTGAGCTGTTAATGTGCTTTGTGTGTTTTTTTGTTGTTTGTGTAGCACCAGATTTTTGGTCACTGGGGGAGGAGGAGCAGTAGCAGCAGAGGAAGAAGACTGCCTCACCTATGTTTTAGTGTAAGTATCTTCAGTGTGATGGTCTTTTCTGTTTTCCTTTTAGAAATTTGAGTTGTTAAATGTGATTTGTGTGTTCTTTTTTGTTGTTTGTGTAGCACCAGATGTTTGGTCCCTGGGGCAGGAGTAGCAGAGGGAGGAGGCTGCCTCACCTCAGGCCCACTATAAGTACCTGCAATGTGATTCCCACATGTCTGTACATTTGTGATGTATATATGAAAGGTATGTTTTGGAGGGATATTGTTATTTGTAAGTGACAGGAAGGTTGAGGTGTTGGACTTGGAGGATTAGGAAGTTCTGGGGCAGAGTTTCTCCCCTCAGGGACAATGTAAGTCTGACCATCGAGGATATCATTTTCTGTCCTTCCACCATGGGTGGTATGGGCAAAAATTTCTTGATTCTCCCAACAACGCAGTCAATGATGGAGGCAGTGGCTCCCTTTGTGCTATTAGATTCTGGTACTGGTGTGTGTGTGAAGCATTTATGATTAGCAGAGTACAATGATTTTGTTGGTAGTATGCATCTTTTGCAATCTCAGACATGTTGGTTGTACCCCAAATGAATCATGATTTGTCTTGTCATGTGGCCATTTCCTGCAGAACTGGCAGAAGTGTCATCCACATATGTTAGGCTTGCGTGCCATTTCTTGCATCCCTATCACACATGATAAAGCAAATTAATTAATATACCCTACGATGTTGATGCTAGTTTAGTGGCTATCCAGTTATTAGCTCATTATATGTAGGCCTGTACATATAAATAAAATTGAAAGACAAGGTTATGTTTTCTGGCATAGAGTGTGTTATGATCCGCCAGGTGGTGCCTCAGGCTGCCAACTGACAGACCTACCCAGAGCGTGGGGTCTAAGCCCGGGCTGTGCTTTCACCAGGGCCCCTGATGGTGGGGATGGACTTGTAACAGTCCCGGCCAGGTCACGACCTCTGAGCAGGCCCACTAGTGGCTAAGGAAGCCTCCGGGGACGTATGCAGGTACCGGGAGAGCCAGATGTGAAGAGGATGGCGGCCCCAGCAGGGTGGTAACGGATCGTGGTCCCGTGGGGGTAAGCGGGGTACCGAATCGGCGGGCAAAGAGTAGTCAGGTCACACGCAGGATCAGCAGGGTAAGTCAGTCCGTAGAATGGTCAGGCAAGCCGGGGGTCAGAATAGGAGAAGGCAGAGTAGTCAGGGCAATGCGGGTCAATCACAGGAGAAGGCAGCGTAGTCAGGGCAATCCGGGTCAATCACAGGAGAAGGCAGCGTAGTCAGGGTCAATCAGGGTCACTAGAACGGATACAGGAACTCAGGATCACAGATAGACCTTGCGGCAATCTGTGACAGTGCAGGGCATCTTTAAATAGTGCGCCCTGCACTGTCATTGGCCGGCTAGGACGCGCCCCCGGCTGTCATTGGACGCCTGAGGCGCGCCCGCGGTTCCTACTGCACATGCGCGGCGTCCTGTCAGCCGCGGCTCGCCGGGACCTAGTGCCTGTGTCCCGGCGTGATCTGCCGCCAGTGCGCATGCGCGGGGAGAGACGCCGCGATCCCTGATTCCGGAGCCGCGATCCCTGACAGAGTGGGATCATGGTTGGCCACAGGTAAGTCTTTCGTGTGCCTGAGAAGAATGCAGAACAAACATTTTTTTTCTCTATGCTGAAAATGCAGGAACAAGAACAATGGACACATTAGACTAATAAAATAAAAAGACAATAGCAGAGGTGTAGGTGGGCCTGTCTCAGCAGAGCTTCATTAGTGTGTGACAAGCCATGACCTTCTGTGAACCTTTTAGTATGGTAAGGATAAAGGGACAGTGGCTGTTTACACCCATCCCCTTACAATATCCAAAAGGGCAATCCAGGCTTTAGGCATTTTTAGGTGGACACACTCTTCTAATTGGATGTTCTGGACCCTGAATTCTACATACTCTACTTAATATTATATTGATTCTTCCCCAGGCTCACTAGCCAAAATATTTGGGAGTTAATATCATCTGATCCTTGTGTTTACAGCATGAAATAGTTTTCCTGATTGGGTCGAACATTGTGAACATTGAATACCCAAGGGAATAGCGAACCAGCCGAAGACCCCACATAGAATGGGCATCTAGGGAGTCCTCAGAGGGGGAAATAATTCCTGATGCCCCAGAGCCAGAGGTACAAGGCAAGTCAACGGTTTGTGATTTTTACAGATATGACATTATTTATTTACTTAGAGTGTCTATCTGTGTGGGGCGGGGCCATTTTTAATCTTGATGGGACTCCGGGCATACATTTTCATGGACCCCCGTTCAGCGCGGAGCACATAAATCCTAAAGCTTAGAGCTTCTCCCTGAAGCTGGAAGCTTTAAGCTCCAAAATCTGCTTTAGCATAGAAAAAGTGAAAAAAGCACCCTTTCAGGGGGGTTGTGGAGGGTGTAAGGAGAAATTGAAATAGGTGAGAGAGAGAGAGACACACAGAGAGGGAAGGCTGTGAGAATGAGAAAGGGGAAAAAGAGAGTGATGCAGAATGGGGCAAAGATAGAGAAAGAGAAGGGGGAAAGAGGAGAGAATGGGGGAGGGGGAGAGAGAGAGAGAGCAAAAGAGAGGAAGAAAGAGGGGGAGAGGAAAGAGACACTCTCTATGGCATTAAAAATCTATACATAACATGCTCCCATTTCTCAACACACAGAGCAGGAGCAGACACCCACCAAAGTGAAAACCACAGCCTGTCAGCCTTGGAGGAGGCGGAGCGCTAGGGTGGCAGAGCAGGTC